TGGCGACTTGCTCGAGTTGACATGCTGGTAGTCTGCAGTATAAGAAAAACAAACCGCACTTGTACTGGCTTGTGAATTTCGATAGTTGTTAAGAGTCTGTTTTAGATATTACACTCGACTTATTTAATTCTCTGGTTCTGTCATTCACCTGTTTAGCTAAAAATAAATACATTTTCGTTGCAGTTAGTTTCGTAGCATAGCCGTTGCCGTTTGTAGTTTGTAGAGGTAGCCACAACACTACAACTCAGCAAGTGCCGTATACGTATTTTAAATTTACGTTTGGGTGCACCTACGTTTGTTATATTTGATTATTTCTTGAAGTATTCAGTTCATTGCAAGCATCTAGCTTGTGTGTGTTTAACTTACGTTTTAGTCATACCGTTTTTCTAACTTTAATTGTTGTAATTGTTAGTTGTAGGTTTCTAATTAAAATTAATCTTCTCAGTTAATTTAATACAATTTACAAGCTTTTTTATTTCGTTTTCCCCCATTAAAACAATTATACAATGTCAATACAGTAGTCGCGATAAATTGTGCATCGTGAAAGTGTGCGCCTTGGTTGATAGTACAGTACAGTAGCAATTAAAGTATAATAAAGACAAAACAAGACATTTTTGGTAACACTTTTACAAGATATAAAAAAGACTATTTTACCAAAGGTAAGTTCAGCGTGTCTGTCACTGTTCACTACATTGTCTGCTCACTCATAGTCTAAAAAGTAAAGGACCCGGTTTCACACCTTTAGGCATATAGGGCTAGACTTATATAGACCAATGGCACAAGATGGGTGATGTGGTCAGCATCACGCCGGCCGCCTCTACTTCCCGGGACTGCACCCGGTAGCCACTCAAGCAAGGCTGGGTCAACCTAGGAGCCAAGGTAATTTTTGAAGAAAAGTCCGGCTCCGTCAGGCAGCGAACCCACAACCTTTCGATCAGCGGTGCGTCTAGGTGCTCTGCCACGGCGACTCCCTGCCATTGCTTTCTGGACGGTCGACTTTCTTGATACCACTGTCGAAACCAATGCGAGGCGCATGGCCTGCAGCTGGGATCGAACCCGGCATCCCGAAAAAAGTCTGGCTTTGTCATGGGGTGAACCCACGACCTCTAATCAGCACGCGAGCGTCTAGCCTCTACGCCACGGCACAAGATAGGTGATGTGGTCAGCTTCTACTTCCCGGTACTGCACCAGGTACCCATTCAAGGCTGGGTCGTCCTAAGAGCCAAGGTCTTTCTGATCCGCGGCCAGCGTCTAGCCGCTCCGCTATGTCGACGCCCATACAGTCTGCAGCCGTATTTTCATTTTAAAAATAGTCATTAACTTTGACTTGTATTTTTTAGTATTTTAATTATTATATTTACAAAATAATAATTAAATGAATTATGTATATAACAGTTAAAATGTTATTGTTTCAGTAGATTCTTCTTCATGTTGAATTATAAAATTATTTGGAGAGAGAGATAAGAGATATCAGTAGAAGTAGAGTGTCAGTCTAATAGTCTAATAAATGACAAATTTGAAATATAAAAATATAAACTTGACTGATAATTTGTAAGTTTAGAGAGACATCTTTTCTCTGACTGATTCAGTTCAGAATTTGAACTGTATCCAAAAGTTGCATTTGCAATTTATGGCCTCTTATATTTGTTCTGTAGATTTGTTTTTAAGGACACTTTGAAATAGGCTTTGTATTGTACTGTCATCTCTGCTTTCTAATTATGACAAACCAGGATTTGAAGTCAGTTGCAGACGATTTGAATATTTGATGTGTTTTCAGTTACACGCCCTACACAAAGTAAAGACTATTTTCCACACCTTGAGACATATCATCATCATGTACTAAGTCTTTTGAAGAGTGAAACTTTCATCACTGTCTGCCCGAAAGAAACATGGTCTCACACCAGCTCTGCCGCCTCATGTACTTTCCTGCTTTTCTCCGAATAATGGTCCCAAATTATTGAGGCCAAAAATATACCCTAACAGGGCCACAAGTAAATTGCGGACTTCCGGTGACTACCGCCACTTTTGAGGGTATCTCCTGCGCCACTGCGTGCGGCGTGGAGCGGGGCTAAACTAGATGGCTGGGACTCACGAGCAGAGCTACCGCATCTCCTGCAGCTTCCTTCATTTTATTTGCTCATGAGTCCCAGCCATCTAGTTTAGCCGTGCGTAGCGGCACAGGAGATACTCTCGACGTTGGCGGTAGTTGCCTGAAGTTCGCAATTTACATGTGACTGAGGCCCTGTTAGGGTATATTTTTGGCCTCAATAATTTGACACCGTTATTCGGAGGATAGCCTTCTTTCCTATCCAAAGTATCACTTATATCCTCTACCCATCTCTGCGCTGGTCGGCCCCTGACCATCTTTCCTGCTATCATGTCTTCTTTCTTCTGCTATTCTTTTTAATCAACTGTGGCACTTTATGTGTGTGTGTGTATATATATATAAAAATGATTATTAGATACTTTAGTGCCCTTTTGCGGTACATCGCAAACCAACCCTAATATCCATTGACTGCTTTTATTTTACTAGGAGAATTTATATTCAGTAGTTTGCCATTGCTTTCTGAATGGTTTGGCTCTCATACCAATGTTGAAATCATTGTAATATCGTCTGCTCTTAAGCTGCCTGTAGTTTACTTTAAGTCTCTATATATGTTGTAAATAAAGTTTAGGACACATGTGGGCACAAAGGGTAACTTGTATTTTATATACCAGTCAGCAGTTGCTTGGCAATGTGTTCAGCATTATACCAGCCATCTTTACTTCATAGCAGGACTTTACCATCTACCCATTTAAGGTTGGGTCTACCTAGGAGCCAATGTCATTTAAAAAAAAAATAAAAAAAAATAAGAGCTTTATTTGGATTTGAACCCATGGACCTCAGATCTGCAGGTGAGTGCTTAGCCACTACACATAAGTGGCTGCCTGTTATATTGTTTGAAGCAAAAAGTATATATGATGTATTAACTGGTAACTAGTAGTTGTGTACAATTTCCACTGTTTTTAAACGGCTGTTGTTTAACTTATGTGTTTCTAATTTTGATACAGATGAAGGTAAAGAAACCCAAGACAAAGTCCGGCGCTCATAAGGCAAGCTTAGCTAAACTAGCCAACAAAAGGACAAATCGCTTGGCTAAGCAAGGCAAGCTTCACAAAGTGGACAAAAAGAAAAAGAAGAGAAGACTTTTGCAAGAGAGTGCAAATAAGAAACAGGTGCTTCAGCTACAGCAGCAGAAACAGCTAGATGATATCAGTAATTATCCAGTAAACGATGAGGAGGAGGATGATGCCAACCTCTCTGATCATGATGTTCAATATTTTCAAAAGCTGAACAATGCACATAGCTTTCTGAGAGCTGATTTGAATAATGAGTAAGTATCAGAACATGAATTTAAGGCAGTTAGTTAAGTTACTAAAGCTTCCTACATCACTGCAGTCAGATCATCTCATAACGGCTTTATTCCTGTGCCAGTGGAAATGACACAAAATGTCCTTCACTATCCTATATGAAAGCTTGTGAAAAACATGCTACTCTCAGCAAAGTCTTGAAGCTTTGGCTTGTACATGCAAAGTAAACATGCAGTTAATGCTAAGGTTAAGTATCATTTTCCATGCCTAGAGGCATATAGGGCTAGACCTATATATTATAGACCAGTCAGCACTCAGATGATGTGGTCAGCATCATGCCTGGTCACCTTTACTTCCCAATACTTTCCCTATTACCCCTTTAAAGTTTTGTTGACCTGGAAGCCAAGATCATTTTTGAAGAAAAAACTGGCTTGATACATATTTCAACCCAGGACTTTGGACCCACATTGGGTGTTTAACTGCTACACTGCATTAAAAGGCAGTTAATGTAGGCTAACTGTTAGATTCTTGTAGTATCATGGACTGAGAAAAGGAAAAATACTGAATTCTTCCGCAAATGAATAGCAATGGGAACTTGCTCATATGCAGTATTGTTTCTTGGAAACCCAAAGACTTTGGCTATATTAATGGTCATAATGATTTGGTGAAAACATAAGTAAAAGATATGGTTCTTGAAAGAAGAGGCTGGATGGACAAGCATGTTTTAGTGTGGACACAAGATATCAAGGATACCCTGGGAATGAAAGTCACAAGGGAGGGACAGTTTGCACAGAAATGAATGGATTTCTGCCTTGATGAGAGCAACATTCTCCCAGGAACTGCTGCGTCAACATATGTGTACTTCTTATTTCATCACATTCATTATCTTGTGCTCGTTACTGTGAGTAGTTGTGGTTTTTACTGTGACTAGTTGCGGTTTTTACTGTGAGTAGTTGTGGTTTTTACTGTGGCTAGTTGTGGTTTTTCTTGTGGCTAGTTGTGGTTTTTACTGTGGCTAGTTGTGGTTTTTACTGTGGCTAGTTGTGGTTTTTACTGTGGCTAGTTGTGGTTTTTACTGTGGCTAGTTGTGGTTTTTCACATTTCTTGTCTTGTATCGATTAAACCATATGGTCAAGCTACCCAGGTTTTGATCTGTCTGTTATTTCCTTTGGTCTTTTCCTAAGTGTACTGTAATGTTTCAGGATGATTTCACCTCAAAACATAGAATGACTACAGGAAAATGCCACTTAGTCTTGACTAGTATGAGCACTGATCTTTCTGGACCACCATCTGTGGCTCTGTACCTCTGTGTGTGTGTGTGTACATGCATTTTACCACCCATGCTTTTTTGCTTTTTTCTCTCTCTCTTTTTTGATATTCATTATATGCATATTATCATATGAATATAACATGCTTATTGAAAAAATACAGCTGCAGTGTGAAAGACAGGTGTTTGGAAGGGCCGAATGTAAGACGGGCCTGCGCTCCCAATTGGTGACCCTTTGAAAATAAAGTTTGTTCGTTCGTTGTATCCGTGATGCTTATGTAAAAAGTTGTTTTGAAGTTAAATTCGGTTACTAAAATAGCGGGTCTATTCATCTGAGTATTTAGTCATCAAACATAATTTATTCTGTTTCATCTGTTTAAAGTGGTAAACCACGAAGTAAGAAAAGAAAAAGAACAGATGAAGATGAAGAAGAATCCTATGAGCAGTTGCCAAGACAGTTTCAAACGGACCAGAAGTCACAGCATATGAAGATGATGCTTCCAATCATAGCCAAAGGGAAAGTCATTAAACAGATGGTTGAGGCAGAGGCTACAGATGACAAAGAAGAAGGTAATAAATACAACCTAGCTGAATGTTTATTCGATTTTTAAGACAGTTAACAGGTGAGATGACAAAGGGAGTAATACACTGTTAGCTTAACATTTATTTAACAGCTAGCAAAGAGAATGAAATACTCTTGAGCTATTTAACAGCTATTAATGAAAATTAAATATTCTTAACTGAATGTTTATTTATTTGTATGCACTGGCAGTTTATAATTTGTTTGTGGTAATAGGTTTAATTCTGTAGCACAAGATACATCAAAATTGATGCTTCCTGTTGGGGCTAATCCTCTGTAAATATACTTTTTCCGACTTGTCTGTAGTGACCTGTTTACAAAAGACATTATTTAGGGCATTTTCCTTCATAGCTAATGCTTTTTTTGAAAGGCCATGTTGAAGTCATTTTTCCCATATGCCTCAGTGATAGGGTGACGGGTTCAAGCATGAGTCACCTGATACATATATTTTTTTTTTAGGTCTCCATGGAATGTATTCCATTTAGTGGTTCACTCTGTACGTGGTTATTGATTAATCCTTTTTATATATTTGGGGTGGGGGGTATAAAAAATGTACTGAAATAAATGTAAACAGAATTTATTTGACTTGCGTAGAACTGCTTCCTGTTCTTCATACACCTTCAGAATTCAGTCTGAAGATGTTTTAACGAAAGCAGCAGTAAAACTGAGCTTGTTGATATCTCTGTTTATTTGATCTTTTAAACATGCTGTATAGGTTAATATAGTTGTTTATTCTTTGCATTCTTGTGTTAGCCTTCATTTTACCAGTACCATAGTTGCATTTATCACCTTTTCCTTCAGTTTGAATATTTTTTTTTCATATATAAGAGTTTGTGGTGCAGTATAATCTCGTTGACACAAATTCCAAACGACCAGAAAGGCAAAAATGTGTGTATCCCCATGTGAGTTCTGGTTTCCCATTCTTTGGAACACAAGAACAAATCCACTACCTCCCTAACAAATGTGTGTAAAAGTCAATTAATTGAGAGCTTCCTTCGAAGTCGGAGTGCATCTGCCTGAGAGGCAAGGAACCAGCATTATGCGTACAGTTAAGTCAGGTCTGGTAAACGGATGTTCAATTAAAATACAAAAGCAATTGGTTGAAATAAATAAACAATTTAACCTCACTTTACTTTCCTGAGACGAGTCAAGTGCCTACTACAGTAGTACTGAGAAGGGGGGAGGAGATGTTATTGTTTGGAAGGAGAGTTCCCTTCTAATAAAACTTCAGGAATCTGCAAAATTGTGTGTGTTACTCTTTTTGTTTTCTGTCTCTTTTTATTACTTGGACCCAGTTAAGGCTCATCAGATTTGACTTCTGCCTTCTGTCCTGGTGTTTCAGAAACGTGATCTTGTTTGGTAATTCCAGACATTGCTGTTTAGGCTTTGTCGGGGGTGGTGCTTCTCTGCACAGTCATGGGCATGTATCTATGGCTTCGTCTCAAGAGAAGTAAACAAAGATGGCACACCGTCTCATGACTAATTTTAACTCAAGCAAGTTCTAGCACGTTGGTCATATTCTAAACAAATGTATACCCACAAGTTTTTGTGTTAAAACAGGATGTATACCAATTTGAACATTTACCAGAGTGAACTATACAGAAACAATCAGTACTTTCTTACAGGTAGTCTGTTCCTCGTTATCACACTTGTCAACATCCATAATAGTTTACTGTATTCATGTTAGGTTATTTATCTTAGTGACTCTGCTTCTAATTATAAATAAATAAAGTAACAGAAAATGTATTGATCGGCACTCAATGGAGTAAACCATGTTCTTAGTGCACTTGTTTATATATTGAGGCGTACCTGCCGTCTTGAGGTGACAGGTTCGAATCCCGGCACGGTAACTATAGCTTTCGATTTTTGTGTTGTCTAGTGTGTTCTTCCATCTTTCTACTTCTTTCTATGAGTGCCAATCAATACATTTTCTGTTACTTTATTAATATATAATATTTAACGGCCTCAAGGGTCCCCCCTCTGTTTATTTATGTGAATAACTTCTAATTATAAGTAAATTTTCGTGATTCTTGTTTTTTTTTCTCTTTTCTAGCTCAAGTTAATGCAGAGGTCTCTGCTGAAGAAAAGCCAGAAGAGGAAAATAAAATGAGCCCTAGTGAATGGACTCCACATGGGGATGTGGTAGATATTGAAAAAGAGAAGGCCTACTTGACTACATTGAGTGCTGTTGAAGTGTTTGCCTATCGTGAAAACAAGCTCTTGGAGAAGAAGCAGAAGATCGCTAACTTGTCTCATGCAGTGCTTGAGGACCCACAGAACAGTGTAATATTTTTCTCCCGTAACTTTAAATGTATATATATACTTTGGTTTTACACGCATTGATATAGCAGGTGCTGTGTAAAATGTTGTTCTTATTGTGGCCCATTGAAAGCCTTTTGTAAGATATAGGACCCATTTCTGTGCCTTCAGGCGTAATTGGCATATATGGCTTGACCTATATTTTATAGACCAATCGACACATAGTTAGTGATGTGGTCAACATCACACCAGCAACCTTTACTTTTCAGGACTGTTACCT